ATTTAAAAAAAAATCTCTAACAACAAATCTCTAGGGCATATCAAGATACCCAGAAGGCAGCAATACACAAACTCCAATTACGCCTGGCCACTTTCTTCTCCCTAAAGCCCCTGCCATAGCTCCTTCCAGTGTAACAGAACCCTAGTTTGTAAAACGTTTGAGCCACTACCTTCCCAAAGGAGTGCCTCAAACCTATTTTTTAAAGATCTGTTTTGCAGCCTCCCTTGTACCAGCTTCCCTGAAGTAAAAATATCCTGCATACCAGCCACCTCCCCCAAACCAGCTCCTTAATCTGATGCCTTGAAGCATGAAGTGTCACAAGCATATGATTAAGGCATAGTCTGGCAAGGCCAAAGAAAACAGGTATGCCACAAAGTGCAAACCCACAGACTGTACTACTGAGGTCTATCATTTTACAAGTAGTTGCAATATTCCTCAGTTCAGCTCTGACCGCATAGGCAGCAATGGCTCTGTACTGTCATCAGCAAGCCATAGTCTAGACCCTTCATTTGAACGCAGCTTTGAGAGATTCATTGTTTCTGTATCATTTTAAACAGCAAAGAAATCTAGAGTTTAACATTCCTTGAATTCATACACTTAATTTAAATCAGTTTGCTTCTGTTTGTTCCAGAAATAAATACATCCCTATATGTATGATACAGTACCAAAAAAATGCACAAGCAGTTCAAGTACATCGTATCAAAAGCAATTAAGTCATGGCTAACAGAACAAACACTTGGCACGAACCTATAATCCATTAGGTAATACAGTCAAGAAACCTTATTTACACTCTCCCATTGTTATTTTTTCGGAGACGTGATGGCCATGGGCAAGTCACTCAGGCTCAGTGCCCAGTACAGTTAGTTATATACCTAACCCACACTGGAACCAAAGCATGCCTGTGTCACGTTTCATTCATCTGTAAGGTGAACAGTATCTCTTAAGAATTTTTGTGTTACACTACAGAATACACTTGAATCACACTCTTAAATAATTTAAAAACAAAATAATGCTCTGCTACAGCAATTAACACCATTAATTAGTAGTCACTTTAACTTCCATTTAAAATACCAATCCACTAACAGTTTGTAAGTTTTATTCTCCCCATGTATCCATGCAGTTCCTGAAGGGTACTGTTTTCATAATTCCCTAAACTCAAAGCCTGTCAGTATTAGGTCTCTAAAAAACAGAAGCTGTTTTCTGTCAGAAGAGATGCACTTAACAGAAAGACCTAAATTTCTTTTAATATATACTCAGTGCACAGGGACCACCTGCTCAGTGAATATTGTTTCCAGAGGAAAAAAGTCAATTTTACATGTGATCTGAGGTCTTCAAAGCTGCTATGGAGTAAAAAACCATTCATTCCAGTGACAGCTGTGGGCCACTATATACCCTATGGCAACCTTTGAAAAATCACAGCTTTATAGATCAATTGGCAGCAAAATTCTCACTCTCCACTAAGTCTCCTGGATATTCTTAAATTCATAATGCGCCTGTAATGCTGTATAGCTGAGATAGATGATGTTGAAGCACTACAGAACGGAGAGGGAAAAAATCTGTACTGAGAATTCAGGATACCTGCTTAATGACCAGTGACACGCATTTTAGGTTTAATTCTTTGCCACTTACTAAAGACACCTCTGTCTGCCTCTGTCAGTCACACTGTTTTATGCTACGCACCGTATGTAAAGACTTGAATTACAGTTAAATTAACTAAAATGAAATTAAAATGAACTAAATGAAGAGAACATATACCAAAAGGCTGGGAGAAGGATGGCCTCTCGACATGCTGCAGAGCACGTCTCAGCAGAGCTGTGAGCAGCTGGCAGTGCCATGCTGATGGGCCTTGAGTCAAGATAAGGAAACAGCTTGGGTAACAGTGGCTGTTTATAAGGGAACCAGGACATTCAGGAAAATCATTTTGTCTTCCCAGTAAATACTCCATGCAGCTGAGGGGACTCTGTGCCACTCTGAGTGACAGGAAGATGGTTCGTGCAGAGGTCACTAGGGCTGTCTCTAAGAGATGCTCTCTATTAAGCTGTGACCCATGCTATGAATACTGTATTGCACTAATTTTCACGAAGTAAAACTACAGAGGAGGTCAAAGGAAGTAATCAGAATCACGGATTCAGTGTGCATCCTGAGCCCATGACATCTACATGCTCTCAGAAAACAAACTACCTGAAGAGCTCTGCTGAGAATCACAAAACTAAACAAACAATTCCACCCCTCAAAAATGAAAAGCTTTCTAAGGTTCACCACTCCTCTGCAGAAACGTAGCACCACTTGCACTCTCACAGAAGCCCTTTGAGTCACTTCAAAAAAAGCCCAGAATAATTTAAAAAAAAGTTAGAGACCACATTAATATGCTGTTTAATCTAGCACTCAACACCAACTTAGTATGGAAGAGGAGACAGGCAGAATTAACTCGTTATTTAGAAACAAAGATCTTAGATTTCTTAGTGAGTACAGGTGTATATTTAGCTTGATCTTGAAAAGTTTTTTTTCCCTTTCTTTTTAATGTTTTCCTGTTAGGAAAAAGAAAAAAGTTACTTTTATGGGTGCTGTAAAGCAAAACTGACTGATTTTATGAGGTGGACAAAGATCTGACTTTTCACTTTCTGTTCCCATACTATGTTTAATATCCTTAGTAAGTTGTTCTTTGGACCATATGAAATATCAAATAGTGTATTAGGAATCCATCACCCACAGTGAACTGCAACCTCCCTGGCATATATATACAAATGCCTTCTCTCACATTACTAGGTCCAGAAACTGCTGCTGCTTCCCATTATAATATCTTGTTTCTCCTGAATTTAAATTATCCAAATAACATTATTCTTTCCTGTAGTACACACTTTTAATCACCTCTCCCTTTTAAGAAGCCAGACAATTGAGAGCAGGGAACTGCCATACTCAAATACAGTGAGTCCAAATCCACAGCAAGCAGAATGAAGGCTAATTATTTAGATACTTGAACTGGGAGGTGGAGGAAAAACAGCAATGGTCACATTAGTCTGACAGCTTCATGACCACGATTTAAAACATGGTAATTATTTGTTACTAAAACCAACCTCAAATAGAAAATCTATCTCCTCTAAAGACTACAAAGAAGAGGGTTACAGTATACTGATCCCCTCCTTCTCCCTATGAAACAGATAATCTGTTGTAGTAAACAAGTTAAACTAGCTTACATATCTGAAAGATCCTTTGGAGAAAGGATTAATGTTTATAAATATCTAAAGGGAGGCAGGAGGCAAACAGATGAAGCCAGGCTCTTCTCAGTGGTGCATAGCAATAGGACAAAAAATAATAGCCTAAAACACGGTAAAACAAAGTAATAGCCTAAACATGGGAAGTTCCATATAAACATGTGGAAGAACTTTATGGCTAGGATGACAGAGCACTGGAACAGGTTGCCCAGAGATATGGTGGAGTGTCCTTGTATGGAGATATTCAAGACCTGTCTGGATGCCTACCCGTGCAACCTATTGTAGGAACTTGCTTTAGCAGGGGGTTGGGCTCAATGATCTCTTGAGGTCCCTTCCAACCCCTGCAATTCTGTGATATGCCTTCTATTCAGTTCTGTTACATAATTCTGTCTGGCTGCTCTCCTTCTTTTCTTTTGGTCTCCCTGCTGAAGAAACCAAGACCTGACCTCCAAATTGTTGCTACTCAAACCAAGTGGAAACTGTGATCCAAGGTGGTGAAGTGTTTCAAGGTGTTAAGTGCTCTAAAAGAAAATTTGGAAGTCTCAACTTCAGTCTTAGCTCCCATCTATAATAAAATAAGTTATACTAGCTCCTCGCTTTGCTTAATCACCCTGAAAAGAGTAAGGTAATTAATAATTCTGTCTTGAGACAAGGCTTTGATTAGCTCCTGTGTGGAGACAGCAAGACTAAAATGCAAAACATACAGGATCGAGCCACATTTTGAACGCAGACTACCACAGGCACCATGGAGCAAGAGTGCAAGAAGTTCATGGCCACAGTGCCATTGCTTTTGGTAAGGAACTGGCACACCACGGAGGTTTCCCCCTCCCTATCCTTTCTGTCAGCCTGCTGTGCTCCCCTTCACAGAAGGGAGCTCTTCAGCAGAGGGAGCAGAGCCCCAGGAAATGATCTAAGGAGGGCTTCATAAAAAGCACACCTCTGGAATCACCTCATTTCTCTGGTACCAAATGACAACCAAGGAAGGTGGCACACATGCTGGTCAGCCAACTGATGACAGCCGGCTGCACTGGAAGGATGGGGGAAGCGCGCAGCTAATTGTTATTTGGATTACCGCAGGCAGGCCCAGTGCCGCACAGCACAGGTTGCCTAGCAACATTTCCCAACCTTAGAGGAGAGCCAGCCTCCATTTCCATGTCGGAGGTAGTCCAAGGAGCAACAAACACTAACATGAGTGATCGGGGTGAAACCCACAGCACCCACCCAGCCAGCCCCAGAGAAGCCTGGCACCTGATGGGCCAGTTGAGAACCGTCTCTGGGGGCAATTGGAACCATTTATCCTCTAAGCGAGCTGCACTTACATGGTCATCTTTAACAACTGTACCACAAACACAAGTCCTACGGGATACATATGGTGATTAACATTTAGTTCAGATGCATTAGAGAAAAAGAATCAATCTTGCCAATTAGCAACCAGCAGATTAAGTAAGACTTTTATCAGTAAACAGCCTGACTGGCTTGGAAAACAGTTACGTAAAAACGCCCTAACAAAATAACATTGTGTACACTAGGGAAAGCAGTTCTGAAGGCCTGAACTTGGGCCACACACAACATGACATCTAAAAACGAACACGAAGCCAACACCAGGCAAAACAAAGAGGCACAAAACAGGGCAACACATGCACAAAGAGCCCCGCAAAGCCTTGCCAAGGTGACAGACATCGCGTATCTACTCCCCAAAAGCACAAGGAAGACCAAATGATGACAGTTACATAAGTACATTTTATAGGAGCACTGAAAGGCTTTTAAGAAAAAATGCATGATGCATACCCTCCTCTCCTGTGGCGATGGTTGTGCTTGGAGATTTTATATGGCAGAGCCCTTTCTCCCAGGTTTTCGAGGTTCCTCACAATGGCTCCTCTCTCCATGAGAGCCTCTACAGTGCGCTTCAGCACAGCTGCAGTCTCAGGCTTTGAAGAGAGAAAAAATAAAAAGAGAGCAGGAAATGTACACAAATCTTGTTATTCTTATTATGTTGATTACAATCAACACACGCATTTGTATGGCTTAAGTACCAGAAGGGAATGTGTAGTAATCAATGGATTTGACTCACCTGGTATCACCTTGGCAGATCCTTGCACAGGTCTGAGTAAACACGTATGGCAAAGAGCAACTACGAACTGACAACAGCTTGAAAGACCCTTGGACCACTAATGCTAGTTAATATTGCTCATCAAAACATTTAAAGTGAACAGTATGGGGAATACCAATCTGTGGCTTGCTGGAAATAACAATTAGCACTACATTCACTTTGCACCATCACTTCAACAGCACACATGTAATAGATATTTGGACCCTTGCCTAAATTGCTGCGTGTCTCATTACAGTTGCGTAGTTGACATCCAAGCCTGTTTAAGAACGATAGAACCGGCACGCAGTAATTGGTCTAACATGCAGAGATTTCACTCCTCATAAGAACAACTATGAGGAACAGGCAGCCAAAAAACAGTAAGTGAAACAGATGCAACATTTTCTTGCTTAATGTAATGATTTCAGCAGCAACACTTAGTAATATCTATGAAAATGTTATTCAGTATAAATTACAACGTTTTGAAAACTGCAAACTTGGTACATTCTCGTGACAAGTATTTGAAAAAGCCAATCTCTTGCAGGGAAAGGAAAGCAAGTGGACATCAAACTGAACACAAACCACAAAGTGTTATTCCCACCTCCCTGCAAAATTTCCCATCACCGTATATTCCCAAATCTACTTGTCCGTAGAAATGGCAATAGCTGAATGGTGAAGTAATTAAAGAGCTGGTTTTCAAAGTACTGCCCTTTCTCAGGCAGGAAAAAAAAAATCTTCCGTAATAGTTCAATCATTTAATGAAGATTACTCAAAGTTCGCTTCGTGACTCTAAAAAGAAGGGCCATTTAGCATCCGAATCTCTTAAAGGACATTGGTGAAAAAGGTGGTACCATAATCTTATAGTAAGAATGTGGTATAGTCCATGCCTCGGCATATAGAATTTCCTTCTCATTTTGCAGAGGATGAAAGGTGATAAGAAAGAGCTTCTAAATGCAGTGTAAAGGTGTTCAACAGGCAACATTTTGCAACGTTGACTGTTCTTGGAAAGACCAGGAGCACAGATATTCTGAAATGATTTCTCGTTTCCATAGGTTAACTGACCTGTTAAAGTCAAGAGTCTGCATCTACTTCTCTTAACTATAAATCAGAAATTTTATTTCCTCCTCATCTGCTAGATGAACTGTTCAGGAAATTTATTTTCAACACAAAGACCCAAAGCAAAAATGCCTGGAATTTGTTTTCAATGTGCATTTAGGCTATGTTGTAAAACCGTCAAAGCAACCAGACAAGTAAGTTCAAATATGAAGAAATGTCACTACCTTGCCAACGTTCTTCAATGCATTAAAACTAATGTTTCTCACAAGAGACAAATACTAAAAGTATCTCTTGTCACAGTGTGAAAAATTAGGGTGAAGGCATTGTTAAAACAGCTTACGCCTTGCACTATATTAATTTAAATCATATTTTAGCTCAGAAATAGGAAAATCATTTTTTCTATTGACTTAGGATATCTTTTTGCCTTTGTGCCACAAAGCAAGCTGTTCTCACAAACATTTAAGGTGTCTAAATTTGACTTCGGTCTCTTCCTTCAAGTTTACCTGCAACAAAACCAGTGTGTTCAGAACTTATGAACGAGAGACTGGCAGACAGATAGGTACACTATACAGCCCTCACGTGAAGTAGAAATCTACATATAAATCATGCCATCTGGAAAGCCAAGTAGAACAAGTGGCATTTTCACAATAACTCCAAAACATTCATGTTTTCTTTTATCATAATAAAAAACATTTAAATTTCTGCTACTGGAGAAGTGTCAGTAACAGTCAGGTTACAGGTAACAGTTTGGCTTTACTTGACCCTATTCCTCCACACTCCACAAATGCTGTAACACAACAGAGTGAGAGCAGAGCTGAGGCTCCTCTCAATACTTGCTCCATGAACAACTATTTTCTCAAGCTCTTTACAGCTCTTCGACACAACTTAAAAGACACAAAGATGTGAGAATCTGGCTCAAACTCTAAATACCTTTTTTTTTTTTTTGCTACTTCCATTAACACGTGATCTCAGCACTCAAAACTCATCCAAACCAGGAGCTGCAGGTGAGACACCTTTCTAACAGTGGCTGCTTCATAGTGCTGCACATTCCAAAAAGCAGGGTGACAGAACTGTTAATGACATCCATAGGTTCATGCTGCAAGAACTGTATCAGAAATCCAGCTTCAAGAAAGAAGAGAAAAATAACAACTACGGCTGCTGTGAAACAAAAGCACTGACACAAGTATCATTCCCTAGGAGGTTCTGACTTCCAAATAAGAATCTGACAAAGACTGCTAGGATTTTACTTGTATTAATAATGAAAAACAAGTAGCTTTAGGAAAGAAAGGGTAGTTAATCTAACAGCTTCAGTATTTTGCGCACTGCAGCACACCTGTAGTGCTTGCAACACTAGGCTGGAGAACATATGCTTAGAAAGGAATAGGATCTGCCATTCAAGTCTTCTTCTATGCCTGCTGTGTGTGCTTTGGTTGCAGAAGCCTCTGTGGTGCTCAAGCACTTATCACAGTAAATATCTGTCAGATTAATAAATAAAAATATCATTAGGTTTACTGTTGCTACTTGTTTCCCACTCAGACAAAAAATTCTGATCCACAAAGAGAACTCTGTTCAAAAGAGACCGTAATTGATCGAGACTTTTAGACAATCAGCAGCATGTCCAGATGTGGACGTGTATGATATACCCTTCTATAACAACCATGCATGCTTCAGTTAAATGTACTGGATAAGTTTATTCCTCTGCATCCCTCCTACCCTCAAGTGACACTTCGGCTTTCTGTATCTTTTATACTTGCCAACAAATCAGCATTTTCCTAGAGTGGCAGCATGTCCAACATGATGTGCAGTTTCCAAACACAATGAAATCTAAGATAACGTCCTATATATTTAAAAACAAAACAAAACAAAAAGAACAAGAAAAGAAAGCCACAGATTTCTACATTCAGAATTGTAAAATATTACGCTTTTTTGCAACCTCTCCATTTGTGGAAGTACTTTGAAAACATAAACTAATTGTTGGTTTTGAAAGCTTGTCACTGCAATCCCTCTCATTCCTCCTCTCCAAAAAAGATCATGGTTCACCATAGCTTGCCTAAAGCCATCAACCAAACTATATATAGGCTAGCCTGTGCTAACCATAATATCCACAGACACAGGTTCCTTGGCTTGCCTCAGAGCCAGACCAGTTGAGGACATAGGAAATGGTACTGCCTGGCTCCCAACCCAGAAGCCACAACATTTTTTCCTAAACAGCCAGCAGTTATTCTAGTACCACAACTGTGGAGAAGCAAGGAAGGAAAATAAAAAAAAAAATAAAATAAACTGAAGAAAAAAAAGAAAAAAAACCAGGAGCAAATGGCAGCCAGTGCCAGAATACCCATGCTGGAGAGCAGGAAGTGTTAGAAAGAGCATGTAAGCCCTGGTATGCAATTCTATCCCTTGTTCATCCTCCTGGGTGCATAATTAAGCCAGAGCCCTTTCAACTGGATTCACCCTTAGTGAACTTAGTGAACTTCATCAGTGAACTCCATTCACCATCTGGCCATAAGTAATTACCTTATTCTCCAGGAGATGCAGAACTAGTGACCCCACTATGGATATGGAAGGAAGAGGGGGGAGAGGTCACTGCAGACTTTCCAAATGCTTTCAGTTGGAAAACACATACTTGGAAAACTGCCCCAGGAAAACTGAAGAACTGTTATCTACAGATCAAACTTCCTCAATCCTCTACCCCACGCTTTTAAAACTTACAGCTGCCCAAGTGAAAATGTGCTGGCTAGCTTGTTATCCCCGTAGCAGATTGTCAAACACAAGAGGGGCACACTGCAAAGGATACTTTCTGTCTATGGTTGGCTTTCTCCATGGATGAGAAACACTGTGGTCACATTTAGCAGGTCGCCTTCATGCTGCTGTCGCCAACACTTCAGTAGCTACATATGTCAAGATAACCAAGTGCTTTTCCACATATAGCCATTCCTTTGGGCCCACCATCACCATAGCCTCCAAATGCAGACAGCCTCCATGCAAAGTTGAGCTTATCACTCAATCATGTCTGTCTACGCTGCACCCCTTCTTTCACTCCAAAACCTCCCTGAGTCAAAGATTAATAGAAGTCCTACAGTTAAAGTGTGGGTATGTACTTTTTTGGCTCTTTTCAGTGTACCATAAATATCATATGAGTGAGCAGAAAGTTATTTAATGCACACACTTCTTCAGAATCTCAACTGATTGCAAAAATAGGAACAGATGAGGGGTACAGTGAAATGTTGCCCAGGATCAAAGCCACAAATGCACAGTAATAACCAGTAAGTACTGCAACACAGCTCCAAAAACCTCTTTGTTAGGGGAACTTACGATACACCACCAGCATGAGTAAAAACTCTACTACAGTCTTCATCAGTTGTAAAGAATTCAGATGGCACTAAGCAAGTATATTTAAAAAACTGGGAAACAGAAAAAAAATGGGCAACATGCTGAAGGCACAGTATTTTTTGTCCTACTGGAGGCTAAATGGATGTGAGCTCATCAGCTGAAACTATGATATGCATTTCTCAGGTGGGGCAGAAACTTGGCAAGAATTTGAAAAAGAACTTGGGCAAAGCTGACATCTCCAAAAAAAAAACAACAAACCAAGGAGACTCGCATCCAGTCCTAATGGAAAGGACAATTCTGTGGCTGAAATTAGAGCCATTTAAAAAGACTGCAGCACTATTCCAAGTTTCATCTAGTTAGCTGGCCAGAGGGAGCTCATGAGATGACAAAGTCAAAAGAACGGCAATAAAAAGAACTGGCTGAAAAAGAAGCCTTCTCAAGCCACCAAAGCTCTTG